TCGTCTTCAAGAGACGAGCAATATCTGCAACTTGTGTTGGAGATGGCAGTTAACAATCCGCGTCATATCTTGACTGGGCTAATGCTGCAATGAGTGCGGTTGTGTGTAGTGGGCGGTTTATGAGGTTGCTAAACTATTCCACTCATCTAGAAACTTTCCTGTATCTGGGGTGATTTGGCCATCTGCATTCGCGCAATATCGGCTGTGGTGAATAGCGTTGGTCGGAAACTAAGCGGATGTGGCGAAAACGGTGACCCAGATTGACAGCATTTTATGCAGCTTCCATGTTGCCTACGATAACAGACCAGTAGCGGTTGCGATCACTCCGTTTTGTGTGGGTTGTCTCACGTCTCAAGCGACAGTAGTCGGGAATTCGTGAGACGTGCTTGTTCCGCTATAGCGGACAAGCAGATAGTACCATCAGTGATTCAATCCTTCACAGGCTTAAAGGTAGAATGCAGGGTAGATAAAGCAGTGCGTCGAAATGACCATTTCAGCCTAGACCAATGTGCGTCACCAGATTCCTCTCTTACATATACGAGGCGTGGTGCACTGGCAGAACTTTTTTGCTTCTATTACTACCTTAATGGATCGGTAGCTGTCAGTATTTTCCAGCGTGCCAGTGTTGATACGCTTTGGTGGAAGACTCTTCCCGCGCGTTGTCAAGCGGAGTCTGGATTTAGTGCGCAGGATTATGTGGGCCCAACCACCTTTATTGCCCCTTTCAGCCCCTCTGTACGCTCGACGGTCATCGATGAAGGACAACCACCGGGATCGGATTAGGATGTAATCTCTTTGGCTGGGTTTACAGCCATCATTAGAGTGCCACTTCAGAAGAAGATGCTTCATGGGATGCTGCAAGCAAATATTGGTTATGCACAACCGATCGTCAGTGAAGCTGAGCAAGCGGTCTTCATTATCGCAACGTTCTCTCCTGAATATGTGATGGGTTTGATCGTTTCTCGGCCCGGTTCGCACATTCTAGTCTTCAGCAATAATGCAGATGTCGCGTCTTGGAATATGGCTCACCTCCGTCGGTAGGGTATCGTAAAATTCGTCTGTCTTTTTCCACTGAGGGTAGTGTTGGTACGAAGACAGAGTGAATGGTCATATTCACCTTGTGACCTCTGAAACGAGCAACTGCTGTTCTAACTGATACTGGATTTCTTGAAAGGAAGACGTTGTGTGCCTGCCAGCTGAGAGCCATATCGACCCTATGATCGCCAGATTTATCCTCCGGCCCACTGTGGTAATGCCAACAAGGTGTGTCTACACCAGGAACTTTGGTTTGTTGAGAGCCAGAGCTGGGTATTCGAGCTTCTGACAGACATGTCATATTGATCTGGTAGTCAGGTAATGTGTGCATGGTCGACGCTTGGCTGCTAACATCCAACATGGTTCTGACATTCTAGCATCTAATGAATATTGACATCTGGCCATTAAGGGACCCAGCTAGCTTACTTATCACTCTGGCTGCTGGGTCAGCGCAGGGCGCGTCGCTTACCGAGAACGCCGTAGCGTGAGAAGGGTGGCAGGTAACGGACATGTCATGAAGTTTCGTGGGCATTATGGGTACGTATGCGGACCCAAACCTCATCCTGCTTTTCTTCGAGGGTCCACAACTAGCCAAGTGCTACCTGCAAGGCGGCAGAGATTTGGGAAATTGTTCTGGCCGTTGGATCAGAGGTCGGTCTATTCCGCCCAGTTATCAGGATTGACGTTGCACGAGGGCACGAACTCACCAAGAATAGTGTTCCCGGCTACCCTCGCCTGATATGGCCCGTCTGCCTGACGGTTGACCGGAGTGTGGCCGCCGCCGTGTGAAAACAGCTTCTTGGAGCCACAGATGAGAGTTGGGTGACAGGTGGAGACCAAAGATAGGCGGATTACCCTGGATAGTAAGGCAGGTCCCCTACTATAAATGCTACTCCTCCCTGGCACTCCGGACACCCCACTCTTCTAAGTCGCAGTGCGAGTTATCAATCATCGGCGAGTGCAAGTCTGCTCTACTAGCAACTGGTTATTTATGCGGTTGGATAGTTTCGGATCCGACCCAATGTTCACGTGATGTTCCCCACCAAGTAGTACGTGTAACCAGCACTAGCCTTATGCAGCTTGCCTTAGTCAGCGATCTGAGTCTCATTGAGTGCGACAATGTCGATCCCGTGGTACGCGAGTTCCCTTGCGACCAGTGCCGTGCGTCGCTCCGGACGTTCACTCGAGTTCCGGTCGAGTAATGTACACCAAATGTAGAGCTGTTTACCCGGAGGCATAGGGTTGCGGTGGCAGACTATCCTACGGGTGGTGGTGACCTGGATTGAAGGAACTATTGGGTTTAAGTGAAATAGGGACGAGGAGAGTATGTGGATGGGAAGAAGAAAGAAGGAAGGCGCTAACTGGCATGTTATTGTTTGTCCACCTAGATGCATGCAGCGGATAAGGCGACCCTTTTCCCAGTGTCACTGCTCGAGGGCCAATGCAAGATGGGGTTATTATTATTATCGTTATTCATAGTTGGGTTTGGACTAGGGTACTGACAGGGCGTCCATACATGACGAGAGAACAACTCCTATCCTCAACCAAAGCCTTCGATAAAATATACACTCGAAAGGCAACGGTCCATATATTATAACTCAGTGAACCGACTCGTGCGAAATTGTGTCCTGTCTCTTAGCTAGAAGTAGGGTGTAACCCGACTCCCACTCAGCGATCGCCACGAGATATGCAGGACTAGTCCACTTCACACAATTGGGAGCAGGGGGTCGACGATCCGTCCGGAGCTCGCCACCACAAGGTACAGCGCCTCATTGAGGACAAAGAAAGGCATCAGCAATACGCCGGTATGTAGTACCGACCCTTCGTTGCCGCGCAGCTACCAACAACCGGGCATGTGTTAACTGTACTGCGAAGGTCGCCCGGTACATTCACATTCGCAAACCTGCGTCTTCGTATTACAAGCCAGGCTTTTGATCCTTAAGACAATGGGCCGGCTTAGGGCCACCGGCCGGCGCGCCATTGATATATATATATATATATATATATATATATATATATATATATATATATATATATATATATATATATCATCTCCATTTTTCTCGAACCCTTTACTCATATCCGATGACATACGTTTACCGTTGACTTCTTCGGCTCCAACAACTGCATACATTCACAAGCACCTGGGTATCGTGCAAAGTTACGGTCATCATCATTCATCATTATGTACGTTAGCTAGAGGTTGGAAACACCTCGGTTATTGTGCTGCAATACATGAGAACGAAAAAGTAGATGCAACATAAGCACACCAGCTGAGCCACCAGTGACGGATGGAAATCGTTCCAAAGTGTTAGCAGTCGGCTATTGTGCCTCGTCAGAAATGTGATAGTGCTTGGTGGGAAAGGTTAAGCGGGAGGGGAAGGGCCAAAGAAACGACACAAACACCACTTAGGTCGGTTTCTGGGCATATCACCAAGTGTATCCAGCCAAACGTGTTCATCGTATTTCGAACCCCAACAAGAGAGCCGAGAGACTCCAACCGAGGCCAATTTTTAACTAAGCGTCTTCAATCCTTTCGACCATGTCGTCGGTTGGCCTCCCATTCTCTTCTTCCATCCACCCTCGTGGTCGCACATCGCGGAATTCCGCGTGGTCTCATGCGTAACACGTGGCCAAGCCATCGAAACCTGGTGCGTGATTTAACGGTACTTAGCGGTTCACTCTCTCTTCTGGCACCAAATGCGAGGCGCGAAACACGCCCATTGCCCATGTAGCGTTCCCACCGGACGTAAGATAAACTGCGAAGGCAGCGATGTTCGAACGTAACTAGCCTCTTTGTTTGACGATCTGATGGACCAGGGTTGAATGCATAGCTGTGTTGTAAGCTCTGCCCTTCAGAGCGTGAGTGACATCGCACCGGTATCACTGGTGACGGAGATAGACAATAATGCGTCGAGATTTTGCCGTATGATTGGTGACCTACTGTTCTGTTCCACAGTCACTAATATAGCTGACTAAATGATTGAATTTATGAGCGACATCTGGCAGTTGGTCACGAAAAGTCAGTGCAGGAGTGGGTCGCCGACAACCTTGGAGAGTTACTTTGAATTTGGTGGGTGTAAAGGACAGCCCGATACGATTAACAGGCGGTGCTAGTTTGTCGAATGCTAACTGCATTTAGCAATTTTGTGTAAAGTTTTTGCGCTGGTGCATATAAGCTAAACATCGAGTGAGGAACGTTGAATTTCTGTGTCCTTTTCTTGGGGCATGTGCGTCACCGTCTTGATAACCCTCTGGACCGGTGTCTGGACCCCGGTCAACTTCCGTTATCCAAAAAACACAAGTTCATCTTCTATCTCTTCAATTAGAATCACCCATAATGTGGTTTGTTCTCACTTGGTATTTCTTTCTTGGCCGACGCTCTAGTTTTGCTCATGTCTCTTCAAATCTGTCCGGTGTAATTAGCATCGGGTTATATTGACGGCAGTGAATCAGCTTTCAGGGTTTCGACTTCATGTTCTCTCAGCTCGTCTGTTTAACCCCCCACCATTGTCCTCGCTGTGATATCTCCGACGCACCCACCATCTTTTGCTATGCCCTGTACAACTGGTGACAGTTGCTTTTTACGTCGCACTTCCTCATGACAAGCGTCTGTGTCTCTTGTTTTCATCAATGATTGTCTTGATACGCATTTTCTCTTAGTGTACTGTCACTCCCAGTCAGTAGCAGCCGGACGACAGCAGTCTATACAGTGGCGTTAGAGTAACAACATTTCTCAACTGCCAGGCATAGCCATACATTTTCATCTTCATGGTCCCCGTTTTCCTCACTTTCATCTCTTTATTGCTTTAGGATTTATCCAAGATTGTGTGATGGTCTGCTGCGCCCTTTAGTGGAAGCGGATTTTATTGCATTTTGTCAATCACCTGGTGTGCCGTGTTTTCAAGCGAGCAACACCCGATTTCCTCCTGCCTTACGTATCCTTCTGTTTACTTCCATCTTAGGTTTGGTTTCAAAGGGCATCAAAAACTGATAAAGCTGTTTCGGCTACTGGCCAAGTGTGCTCAATGCTCGTGAGTCGCACCCTCTATCTTTCACTCGGTTCATCAGCTTCCAGATAACGACGAAGTGGCATCGAAACTTAACTCCGTTTTACCGGAGCATATTCGTATTTTAGGTACTTCTGCAATTGCTTTCCAATTTTCCTTCGTTATCTTCCCTTCCACTAGTCATTATCTCAAAATATTCATAACAAATGATTTTCCATGTTTTCATTGTCTTGAGCTTGGGCGATTTAGTCATGTGGACTTCACTTTTTTCTCTAGGGTAAGGCCCTCTATTTCATCTGCGCACTCATTTATCATTCACTTTTCTCCACAGCTTAAATCAAAGAATGCTTCAAAGCTGTTGTCATTTATCACCGTTTCCTAATCATGATATAACCATACAGTTTTGAAGTTTTTGATGACGATGCGTCGCAGCTGGACTCAAGCAGGCAGCTGGCACACATTAGGGAAGACACTAGACGGCCGTTCACTCTATTGGGACTCGCCGGTACCGTGCACCCGCCGAATCCTACCGCATTCGAACCCACGACTATACCCTCACAAGCCAGCGACTTATGCCACTGCGCCATTGGTTACGTCAACGAGCCGTCATGACTGGTATCTAGCTGCAATATAGCGCGGTCCATTCTCCACTATCATGTATGTTATAAACGTTCAGAGGACCGGACTGGCCTCCACAGCAACGACTTTTGCAAACTGCCACCAATCGTGGTGGCATTTAAGCTGCTAGGGCGACTACTGCTTATTTGTAAGTAGTAGGGGATTTACTTGGTGTTTTGTAAAGGTTCGTCGCAATTAGACTCAGGCAGACAGCCACCACACGTCCAGGAAAACGCCAGATGGACTCGTCAGTAGCGCGCACTCGCCGAATCCTGCCGGATTCGAACCCGCGACCTTATGTGTCTGAGCCGTAGGTGATCTCAGCGGACCGCCATGACTGATATCTAACCGCGATATAGCGCAGCTCATCCTCAGTAGCAACACATCACTTGCTTGAGCTGACGCTTCATTTGTATGCGAAATCAAAGGCACTATCGCGTTCATCCTCCAATTTTTTGTCGTTTATACATACTCCTGCACTTCACCTATCCATTCATCGTTCTCATTATTTTGGGCGACTTGGGTCTGGGCATTTGAATTCGCTACCTGCTTGGTGCAGGGATCGTAGTTGGTCTCTTAACCCTTTCCACATTTGTTGGTTTCGTTCGTTTTGGTATACTACTGGCATGGGTACGCTATCGTATAAACCATTGTAACGATTAACACTTCTGTTTCAAAATAGCTGATTCCATAACTTGGAGGAGTATTCTCAATCGTCTGCTTCCTTGTTTCTCCATACCACCTCTTGCAGGTCTGGATACGTTGTAGTACCGTATGGCGCGCTTTATTATGGTGCATTTTATCAACTAGTCGGTCGAGCGATTACTCCACGGCGTGGAGCTTTTAAGATATTACGTTCAGCTATATCCCTTTTTCTAGTTTAACCACTCCAGTACTTCCACTTAGTATGTAAAACATGAAATTCACCTGGAACTTACCAAGCAGTATGTGCTGCGATCGCGTACCCACTTCCAATGATTCACTTATATTCATCTAGTTTCTTTAGTAGGTGATAAGTGATGCATTTTTCAATGCCTGTTCATAGTAGCTCCTTATAGCAAGTGATACCTTCGCGCAAGAGTTTTCTGCATTCTAAGTGTGATATTTGCATTGCCTGGTGTCATGTCTTTTTCTGGACCATCTTTTGACTTCCAGATGTTATTCGAACCACGCGATGTTTTGCTGCGCACAGTCTCTGTAGCCACCGTATCTATGACTACCTTTTCCCTACGTTCGTCTTGGCTCCATACGATCTTCCACTTGTCGATACGCTCCACCGATCTTACCGCGTTGCCCCAGAAAGGTTGACGCATGTCAACGCGGTGTTGAGTCGCTACAAGGGGACTCATAATTTCTACAACTTCACCTCTCGTCGGTACGTTTGAATTTTGTTTCCACAAATTTCGCCTTTGCGCCTCTCGAACCGATGTTCCACTTTGTTTTGTAAAAACTGATCATGTTTTTATCACGCACCACTTACGCATATCTGTTTTTTGCTACACAAAATCCAAGCCGCTCAGCATCTGCCGTAGGCAACACGCAATCCAATCGGCAATTGTTTATGACAATAGTGCATCGCGCCGATTTCTCGTTTTAGCTAGATTTCCCCCATTTCGTTGCTCATCTGCCGTGCTTTGTTAAAGCAGAACGGTAGTGGACAGCTTTTTTTACTATTTTATGCTATCATAGGAAGTATTATCACATTGAGCGATGGTGAAACTTGCTCTTACTCGTCTGTTTCGGCTATTTTGGAGCAGTAACATGGCTTTTTGGTTTTTCTTGTAACGGTCATATCTTTACGTTATACCACTTCGTATCTTTACTATATCCCTAGCTTACCAACGGACCGCAGTTGCCGCAGGTTTATCGTATCGATTGAATGCCTACCTCCATTCCTCATATGTGAGTCGGAATATGCCGTCATCCGAATTGTGGGACAATCTTTCATGTTGCACCAGATTCGAAAGATGATCGGCCTCATGTTCGCAGTGGTTCGCGGGAATATGGACGATAATGTGTTCGATATCGTATTTGGCACGGAGCGTGTACGTTTTTGTGATCGGTATTTATGGCACTTCAAGTTCCAAACCTTATGCTCAAGGCGTGTCCTGTTTTGACTGTTTCACTAAATCTAACAGACCTTTATTGAAGACCATTCTCCTATAACCATTGGTACTTGAATTCCAGATTCATTCTCTGACTTATATCTGGCCACCTGTCTCCTCTCAAGCCTACTCCTAATGGATTCCCCTCCAACCTTGCATAGTGGGACACCAATACTTGGTCATTCACTTATTTCGAGTGAAAACACTTCTAAAGCGTATACGTTGCGCCTCTTTCGGCGTAGCTACGCATACTCTGATTACTCCCTCGGTTACGGCTACTTGCCCCTACATTGGATGTTGCTAGTACGGTTCGTATAGGTGCTTGTCAAGCAACTTTTTCCTAAGCCTTTCCTTATTATTTCTTGCGTCATCACCAAGTTGACCCGATTTCTTGACTGTCAAAACATACATGTGGGCAAGTAATCGATGCACTTCTCCATCTTTGTCGGTCCGACTAGTAAGTATACCAAATTCCTGTCGTTCTTGACCTGTTCTCAGCCAATTGCATCCATGGCGGTTTCAAATCCCTCTTTGACGAAATTATGTTACTCCATACATCTTTCGCGATGCTCCTCAACGCTATCAAATGGCATCCAATGTGCGCAAAGGATCTCAAACAATGCGTACTATTCGTTAAGTGACCGATCGCAAATCAATCGGTACTATACCAATTGAGTACGCAGAGTGGGATGCTATTTTCATATTTCGGACAGGACCAGTAGCATTTGGTGGCGTTCACACTCGTCGGATGCAATTTGATAACGTTAAGAACCATCTTGAGAGTTCTATGGAGGAAAATGATTTCCTTATGGGAAACTTGGAAAGTCCTATGGATGCAGTTAACTGAAATGCTATAGATCATCTGTCGATGACAGTGCGACATAAATCTGTCGTTTTTTTATCGGATATACATATCTACGATATATCTATTTTGCCTGCACCAAAAGACTGACCACTGCTTGTCTTTAATCGCCAGTTCTTATATGGTGATGTTCATATATCTAAGAGTGAGAACCACCTTACCTATTGTGACGCGATGTAATTTAATTAGATGACAGCAAGATACAGATTAAAAAATATCGATAACTCTTATGATACTTTGTTTTCCGTTATGCATTGATGCAGCGATCATGGTAGGAGGAGAATTGCCAAGGAAACTCGCAACACAAATGCCATTTAGATCGGCTCCTCTCCATATCGATAAGTATATCAGACCAGAAGTGTTCATCGTCATTCGGAGCCCAACATAGCATTCGGGCGACACCAACCGATGCCATGTGCGAAGTAAAGGTCTTTATTTTTCTCAACCAAGCCATCCCGGTTGAATAAACATCGCGTGAATCGGTGTGCTGGCATGCGCAACACTTGACTTAGCCATCAAGCATAGTACGTTATATAACGCTGCTGAGCGGTTCATTCACTCTTCCGGCACTAAGTATGACACGCGAAACGCGCTCATTGTTCACCCAGGGTTCCCATCAGACATGAGAAACTGTGAAAACAACGACGTCCGAACCTCATTAGCCTGTTTATTCCTGTCGATCTGGTGGGTCAGTTTTCTCAACCCTACACTAGAATTCAATACTTTGCTGCGTTGTGAACTCTGTCTTTCAGAGCGAGAATGATTCGCGCTGGTGCCACAGGTTGCGGAGATAGGCAAAAGCGCTACTTCGAGTCATGGAGAAGGGCTTTGCATTTCGTGTGTACGAAGCACAGTCCGACACGATTGACAGGCAGTGCCGATTTGTCCATTGCTGCTGGGCGCGTATGTGGACTGTCACAGGTGAGAACAATGTCGTCGGCATACTCCAGGTCTAGAAGTCGATCACTTAGAGATCGCTCCACACCTTGTAGATCATGCCTAGTGGTCGCATTTTCCATAAGTTTGTCAATAGCGAAGTTGAAGTGAGAAGGCGAGGATGGACATCTTTGTCTCACACCGCCGGGTAATTTAAGAGGCTTTGAAAGCTTGCCTTCATCCCTTCTGCCCAAGCTTCACGTTTAAAGCACATACAAAATTGAAAGTAATGTAAGATACTTGGAACTAGTCGGGAAACCATGAGTTCAGACAGGTTTAAATATTATCGGTTGGTTTATCTGTTTGACCACCTATAACTTGTATTGTGCCATCTTCGTTAGGCCATGTGAATCAGTATGTAGCTAGAACGGCATTTTATGTAGAATCAGTTGTCGTTTTCTTTTTCGGGCATTGAGCGCCCTTCTCCTTGGGTCCGCCCTTACGCACGGAAGTCGAACGTGAGATCAGACTATTGAAGTTGCATAATGCCTCAGAAGCAGATAGAATTCCCTCTTCAAATTCGGGGGCTGCTCTTGTAGATGATTTACTAGAATTTCTAGTGAAACTTTGAGGGCAGGAAATTGTCCCAACTGACTGGAGCCCTTCCGTCATACTCCCAATTTTCAAGGAGGCTTCCTATCTAAATGTGGCAATCATAGAGGGATCAGTCTGACGTCTGTTGCCTCTGAATTCCTTGCGTCTCAAGTTCTGCACAGACTGACTAGCACTCGTGAAAGCCGCATTCTTAGAGCAAGCCGGGGTTCGTCGAGGTCGTGGCTGTATTGACAACACCACTTGTCGTGTTTCTCGACATAAAAGGTGCCTTCGATTCTGTTGATCGATGTGCCCTTCTGAGGAAAGATGTATCCGCAAAATATGAACTTTTATCCGAGCGTTATACGCGCGTAGGTCGGGCAATGTAAAGCTTACGGCATGCTGTCGCCCCCTTCAATATTTCTTTTGGTGTGAGACAAGGATGCTGCTGTCCCCTTTCCTCTTTAACTTCGCCATTGGCGATGTCATGGAAACAGCGTTCGCTGGACACGACCTTGAAGGCGTGGAGTTATTTCCTGGTGAGCGACTTCTTGACTTGGAATATGCGGACGATACTGCCCTCATCTGTGACAGCTCACATGCGTGCCAAGCGACACTGGACAGATCAACGCTGGCTGTCAATCGTTTTGGGCTATGCGTTGCACCGAAATGCAAAGTCCTCCAAGATTAGCAAGGACCCACCCCTGCGCTGCCCCTTGGTTGTGATAAGCTATAAGTGGTTCTGGAATTCAAGTACCTGGGCTGCTACATTAGCGTGCATGGGATCGAAAATGAGTTCATGAATCGTGTTGCAAAAGCTGGAATTGCCTTTGTCAATCTTTGCCAACTTTGGCGCAGATGCGATATCACTCACCGTTAAGGGCAGAGAGTTCAGCCCTCCTGTACGGTTGTAAAACCTGGCCCATCAAGTCGACAGACATAAAGAGGCTAACACATACCTCTCAGGTTCCAACAGCAACTGATCGTTGAAACATTCCCGTGACATGGAGCTCATTAGATGCATCTAGTATTTGAACGCGTTTTTAGCAACAAAGTGCGAAGGAAGTTGAAGAATTTTGCACGGCATACAATGTTTAAGCAATTGGGTACTTGGTCCACACATCTCAACCTGGCGTTTAATTCGTCAATGCGCTGAGCAGTCGTTTCGATGTGGGATTTAGTAACTCTTCGCAAGTTCCGGGCATTGACGGGTACATTGTCCTTACGCAGTGACTTTACAAATTGACGCGGGTAATTTGACGTTTGCAGGCATTCACGGTAAACAATCTCACGCATTGTCTTACGTATTTCCACTAATTTGTCCAACGATCAAAATGTATCAATACAGTATATCATTGCATGCCGGACAAAATTCTTCAACTTCCTTCGCACTTTGTTGTTACAAACGCGTTCAAATACTAGAAAGCATCTAATCAGTTCCATAAAGAGGCTAGTCAGGTTCGTTCATCGCTGCCTTTGCAGCTTAGCTGATGTCTGGTGTGAGCAATGGACGTGTTCAACGTCGTGTATTTGGTGCAGGAAGTGCGAGTGAACCGCTCAGCACCATTATATGGCTCACCAGGCTCAGATTCTTAGGCCATGTGTGGCGCATGCCAGCTTACCGACTCCGTTGTCATGCGTTGTTTGCGCGCCGGCGATGCGGTTGGAAGAGGGAGAAGAAAGGTCAAGCGATGACTTGGTTGGGCGAAATGAAATTCCTCATTACGAAATTGGCATTGGTTGGTGTTTCCCGACTGCCTGGCGGGGGCCCTATGGACAAAACACGTTTGATTGGACACACTTGATGTTGTGACGAAGAGCCACTAATGGCGCTTGTGTTGTGAGTTTCTTTATCCATCACCCTCCTCTTTAGATTCCCCATCCAATGTAATATTCAACATTTTCTTACCTGCTTTTGAATTCTTGTAGTGTATTTTTTTAGTAACTTTGTATTGCGACACGTTACCTGAGGATTGTTTCTCACTCTCAGCGAACGTGTATTGATGTAGATGATGATGTACATAATTTACATCGTACAGTTGTAATAACTGACGGAATTGGTCTTTTGTAAGTTGTGGTCCATTATCTCTCTGTTTCCTCAGTAAACCCAAACTTAGCGAACGGATGTTTTAGGCACCGTATAACTGTTGACGTGTTCACGTCACCATAAATGTGAGTCCCAGACCATTTACTGTGAAAACGCGGTGCCATCAACCAATTCCTCTTATGTTGTGATGCAGAGTGGAATGGTCCCATGATATGTATCGACACCTTGGATCTGGGTTTCATTGGATAAACCATCGGCTCAACAGCTGCATCAATCGGTCTCGAGCTCTTATCGGCTTTTCGACACACATCACACAAACGAACACACGCTTCCGTCATTTTTGACATACTCGGTCACCAAAAGTGCTGCTGCAATCGGCGTTTCGTCCTCACGATGCCAGGATGTCTGGTGTGCGCATTGGATTTTTTTGTCAGTTCATGTGGGGCCACTAAGCCCTATCCTTGCATAAAGCAACCATTGATGATCGCAAGTTCATGCCGTAAAGTATAAAACGCGCGTCGTTCCTCACTCAGTTTGATGTAACGAGGACAGCCCTCAGAGACGTAGCGGGAAACGACTTGTGAATTCGGATCATTTTGGTTGAATATTTGGAGCTTTGGCTTAAATACGGCGGCAAACTCTCTTGACTATAAAGCGGAAATCATTACTTTTTCCTCGTCGTCCCCTTTAGTGTCCGGATCGTCCAATGGAAGGCAGGATAAACTGTCTGCCATGGGATTCTCGGAATTCGGTCGGAATGGGATTTGTAGGTCGGTACTCAGCAAACCGGCATACCAGCGATTAATTCGAAGTGGCCTCTGGCCGTTGGTTCCCCGACTCAATGGAGCCGTTAGAGCAGTGTCATCTGTACGTAGTGTAAACAGCCGGTCAAACAATAATAAGTGCCATTTTTCACAGGCGAGTCAGCGGAATATGAAGACATTGTAGCGGATAACTTTCTAAAAGCATACGCGATAACCTTTTCCGATTTGCATCTGAGACAGGACAGCTCCTAAAGCAATGTTTGGTGTCTGTGAGTCAAATGTTGCACGAGTCTCATAAAAACTGGCAAGAATTGGGGCAGAAATGAGACACCTTTTATTTCTTTTAAAAAACTGCTTTGTAGATCCCAAGTCATAGGTGACTTTTTCCTTGGTTAACGTCCTCACGGGCTCCACTAGGGTAACAAAATCGGGCGGATAACACCAGTTGTATGAACAAAGGTCAAGGAAGTGTCTAACTTCAGACGCGTTTTTAGGGATGAGTGTTTCCGCGATATCCCGAGTATTTGCGGCTTATGGTCGGATTCCACCAGACGATATGATGTACCCGAGGAATTTTATTTCCGTAGCATCAAATTTGCACTTTTCAATATTAAACCGAAGATCTAAGCTCCCCAACCGCTGTAGTTTGGCGCGTAGCCTAGTCGTGCATCGATAACTTGCGTTTCTGGGTCGTCGATTATATCGACTTGTAATACTGCATTACCTGACGTCCTCTGTTGGGTCGATTGTTTCGTGGGAGAGCCATGCCAGGCAAAGTAATCTCAGTACCCAGCTATGTTTCGGAAACCATAACGAGGTCCTAAGGCGTTGAAACGTGATGAATACGTAGCTAGATTAGTTTATTGAGATGACTTTGCACCTTGGTGTACAGACATTCGAGGGCCACAGAGGTTAGGAGCGTATTTGTAGATGCAAATTTCTGGTGAGAGTTTATGCTGACCCTTGTGGACCGGCTTCCAGTTCTGTGTGCCTACTGACACAAGCCCTGGCGCCATCCCAAATCGGTGTGCTGTGTGTTCATTGATAGCACGGGGTTAACAATCTAGATCTTTAGCTGCCGGAGTCTTTTTACCGCATCCTGTTTCGAAGCCGTATGCTGATGGAATCGCACTCGGGCCCTACTTGTTAAGTGTTCTCTTGTCGCTTTGTGGCCGGGAGTTCATTGTTTCAGTACGTATTTAGGATTGAGGTTTTTCGCGCCCTTTGTGCAACATCTCGAGCGTCATTTCTGTCATTGCTTTGCATTGTATTTTGTTTCACTTCACTCGTGGACCACGCCCTTTGTGGTATGGTCGAGTTGGCGATTGCGTTTCTGAGAGGGAGCATTTCATGGATGAAGCGCCATTTATCCCAATCCTGCGCTTAGGCCTCTAGCTCCGCCGTTTTGTCCTACTGGGACTGGTCGGATCCTGCCGGATTAGAGCCCATAGCCTTACGCTTACGATTTGGCGACCTGGGCCATCGGTGACCGTGGCTGAGCGCCATGACTCATATCTAACTGCTATATAACACGGCTCATCCTCCACTGTCATACATGTAATGAGTGTGCAGAGGCCAGGGCTGACACCCAGAGCTGCGACTCCCTTCGGATGATCATAACATACGTGACAATGGAGGATGAGCCGCGGCTTATCGTAGTTAAATATCACTCATGACGGTCCGCCGCCGTCACCCGTTGATCTGTGGCATAAGTCGCTGGGTTGTAAGGGTAAGATCATGGGTTCGAATACGGTAAGGTTAGACAGGTGCACGCAACTGACAAGTCCCAATAGGACGAAACGGTATGCTAGCGATTTCCGGGATGTGTGGTGGCTGTCTGGCTGAGTTTAGCTGTGTCGAATCTCCTCAAAACACGATAAATTCCCCCATCCACTGCTCACTAATGAGGCGTTTTCTGTTTATCGGTTTAGCTTGTATCTTATTAATGTACACGTGGAGGCCCACTATTTCCGGTCGTCCAAGTGTCTTTGCTCGCTCTTGCCTCAACTTTAGGCACGTTAAAGCATGTAACGATCAAAGAACTACGATGACTAATGTTCTCTTTCATGGAGAGATTCGTAGCTACTTTCTTTTGTGGGACCCAGACGGCATTCTAGATTCCTCAGTAGTATTGGCTACACTACCTGCTGTTAAGATGGGCGGTGCTTCTGCCATGTTAATGGCAACAGCATTGAATGCTATTGCTGCGCGGAGTTTTGTGATGGAAATCTAATTTATTGTTCATCAAAAAACCACAACCTTGTCGATAAAGTTGTGACGCGTATACGCTGCGTGTTGGAAATGAAGCGTGCATTGCTCATCATGGGCAACACCATAACATTGCTTTATAAGCGTATTTTCAGTCGTTTTGAACTGATGTCTTGCAGTTACTTTTGTCTTCTAACCATTGATCTTCATTTCGGATTGGTCTGGTGTCACTGGTACTTTACCGTATGTTGTAACTCCGTGAGTTTTGCAGGTTCATAGGCCCATTACAGTATGTTCTATTCAGACAAGCCATCGTGGCTCCACTTTCTTTATCATCATTATTTCTTCGCATCCTCTGTTTTCCTAGGTGGATATACCGCGGGCTCCTGCTTTGGGGCTCATGTTGAACCAGGTTGTTTATTCCCGTTACAATGAACGTTATGGCCGAGATGGGATTCACAAACCCATTGAGTGGGCCAATTATGAAGTATGTTACACTTTATTCTGCATGTGGTTCATCTGAAGGTTGTTTTGACTCGTCGTTTGGTTGTAGTTCTTTTCAAACTCTTTTTGTTCTTGTGGGCCACTTAGCGAGGGTTTACTTACCACAACATACTGAGTTTTGACAAGATTTCCTCGGCTTATCCTTCCATTTATTGCAAATCGTCTTACGCTTGTTAACTCTTCGAGCCGTTACTGACTCTGAGCGTTGTACAACGCATCGGTTGTTTGTTACGAATTAGATCAAGCGAGCAACACTGGTCACCGCACAGCGAGATCACCATGATTCTTAGCCCTCTGACTTCCACATAAGCTGTGTCGCCTCACTTCCCCTTTCATTTTAACAACTTAAACTGCCTGTTTGTAGCAATTGCTCTACAGCCATCAGCCGTACTCCGATACGCAATACCGACGCTTCGCTGCTGCGCAAACACCACCAGTCGTGCGTGTTCTCAGGATACTGCGAGGGTCGCCCTGCTCCTACGCAGGCTCGAACCCCCGCCGTCATATTACAAGGCGGCTTGTGATGCTTAAGGCTACTGGTCGGCGTTGCTCTATAGGATTCCCATCCGTATCCTCTGTCGAGTCGCACTATCTTTTAGCCCAACGCATCTTCCTCCTAGTCTGCTGTAAAAGGACTGTGCCCAGATACACAGGAGATATGTGCTATGAATTACTTTCGGATTGACCCTTTAATTCCGACTCCATCAGCTTCGCCTGATCCTACTGGTCATGCCGATGGTAATTTGAATGAACAGCGCTTCATGTAAACACTGCATCAAGTGCTCTTTGATCCCAATAAACATCGGGCCTGTTTCTCACTTAATTCCGCTCATTTGTTTTTGGTTGGTTCATCAGGTCGTCCATTTTTCTCGTGTTCATATGCTTTAGTACACCACTCACATATCATCTTTACATCTTCGCTCCCATCACTTTTTATTACAGGAGCAGATGTCCAACTTCAAAGTGACGCATATTTATGACCACGTACACAAAACTGAATCGAACGAGGGGAGGTATCCTTTGTAGTTGTGTTTATAGATCGTGCGATTTTAACTGGCATTCTCCCAAGGGAAAACAGTTCATGTGTGATATAAGTGATCTGAGTTAAGTGGCTGGAGGAGAAAGCTTGGGTTTTATTCGTACCCCTCACGGGGTGCGGCCACCTTTTATTCAGTGGCAGCCAAGTCATGGTGCCCATCTTGTCTACTGCCCACCCCACTAAGTAACTACTCAATTTCCCTTTCTGTCACCATACGCCATTGCGCACCGTGTTGCCATCACTTTGTAACGACGTTTCCTAGGATTACCCAGGTCCGTTCGGATTTCTTCGCAGTATCATTGTTCAGGGTAACTATGCTGGAGCTAGGTTGGTAGATACAAACTGCTTCAAACATTAGCCTTCGGTGTTGCTTCAGCTACAACTCTGTCACCTATCGCTGGAATCATTGTACTTTGGTGTACGGATCACCATCGACTACGACAAAACATCAGTGCTTTGTACTGTTGGTTTGTTGCGTCGCAACTATGAAGTTCCCTCTAATGGAAAATAGGAATAATTCGGGCTTGATGTACAACCTTGCATACATCTAGGACCAAGGGCGTCTGCATCCTATGGACAACACACAGGATCTATAGTGTGAGGATAAGACAGTGGCGGTCCAATCTGTTAGCATTATTGCTTGTTTTTGTAGCAGCACTGATCGTACCGCCCTGGAACTTGTTGTTGGTTCTCGGTGTGCACCCAAACCTGTCCAGCTGCATCGCCCATTGGATACTGGTGCTCTCATTGGCAGTTTGTTTGTTTGTTGCGCGATCTATTACGGAGTGTCAGCGTTCAGGTCGAGAGCAGTGCCACAATTAGAGATCGAACGCGAATATAGATCAAAATGCGAATCTATGGGGAATCAACGGCAAGTCGGACCATAAACTTGAACCGTTTGTGTTGTGTTTATTAATATCAATTGCCATCTCCAATTTTGTTGTGTTAGTGGTTTCCTACAACCTATATATTACACCATGTTCTCATACAATAGAATCAGAATCCGGATCCCTCAGACCGGGTGGTCTTGGTGTTCTCAATTCGTTCGGATTGAACTGGTTGGGGGCGGCGCAACAGATTCTGGTGTGTCATCCGTAAAATCAACTGAAATCACAACATATTTCTGGCGACGGTCAGCTGCACGGTAGCAGTAGGTTAGCCGTACATTCAGCGGAACCACAACATGATCTGTTCTGGGTGAGGCATCAGCAGTACGTCGGTACTGCATACCGACGCTTCACTGCCGCATAACCACGACCATTTGCATGTGCGATGGTCACTTGGTTCCTATGTAGGCTCGAACCCGCACCTTTGGGTTATAACCAGCCATGATTCACTTGTACTTACTGTCCTGTCAGTCCCTACACGCATTTACCCTTAGCTGTTATTTTTAGCATGCTTAGCTGGCTCTATTCACTGAACGAACGTACCTTTCTCTTCCGTGATTCGTCGAACCGGATTTTAGATTGCTCTTCAATACATCCCAATGAAGATTCTTCCGAGTCAGATGAAAACGACACCGCTCTTTTGGCCTCCTAGGTCTATATTTTGAGTTATCTGTTTCTCCAGCCTATACTTGTACACAACCCGCACTGCATGCTTGGTAAAGAAGTTTCCTATGAAGACGCGTTCATATTGTCGCCGTTTGTCGGCACTTTTGTATTAAAGTCGCTTTTTTCGTTGCATAGTAACTGTACTGTTTGGCGCATATGATTTTTAGACCATTCGCTTTTTACACTTGTTTGTTAGGATCTGTACGTGGTCGTTGGTCGTACACCTATTGAACGACCACAACCTCGACAGCTCAGTCTTTTCGGATACCAGTCATACGAACGGAATCCCGACTTTTCTTCTTATTTACTTTTGCCTCTTTTGCAGTTCTCATGGCAAATTTTCTGATAAACCCTCATATTAGTTAAGCGCATACTCGTCATTTATCACATAGGAGAAAGTATGAACTGGCGAAAACTGGACGTTCGCTCTCCCATCTTCATTTTGCTCGATGATGCTTCCTGTAGCTCACGCATCGTTTACTATCAAATCCCGCAACTCGGCAAGGTCTCAGGAAACACATCTCTGCTCTCTAATACTGAGCCTTTTTCGTCGAGTCGCTTTCGAATCCAACTTCACGTTGCCGACTAACCAACCGCTACTTTAGCCCACGTCCTCTGCTGACATCACGAAAACACCGATAATATTATTAACGACAAGCAAAATCACAATGTACAACTACGAATGATTTTTCGACACTTGTTTGTTCCTCTAGTGGGCGACATACCTCTCAATGTGTAATTTATTCGTGCAGAGATCCAGACTATCAGCAGTGATGACTTATTTCAGATCGCACTACTTTAGCTTCTTGCAGATTCGCTCGTGAACCAGCACCCGATCTGTGTTAAATTTGCGCCCACAACGGCCACACGGAACTAGGTTTTGTTGTGCCGTATCTCTAGCTGCCTCGTTGTAATCTGACAAACTTGTAGTTTTACAAGTAGGCATCAAGGCTTTTGGCCGTTCAGGAGTCTTCGCTCTCTTTTTCAACGGGAGCTGCTCGTTTTCCCTATGCCATTTTTCCAAACACTGTGGCTCGTGGATGCTTATAGATTTCGTGCCATATTCTCTTCCACATATATAGCAAATCACCGTTTTCGGCTTCTGTAACACAGTGGATGCGGTAGGCTGTTGAGCTCCAGGTTTCTCTGGGTTTCCTTTTCGGCACACATTTTCGTGAGCTTCTATTCTGTCGGTTTGGAATCTTCTTCCGCATCCTGTACAAGCGATCAACTGTTGCTTCGACTGTTCCCATGCTAGCTTGTTGGCTGTCTGAAAATCCATCTCACTGCGATCAACTTTAGTTGGTGTTGGTCTACGCATATTCTCTGCTAATCGATTATTTTCTGTCTTCCACTTAGATAGGCACTGTGGTTCATGTATCCCGATTGATTTTGTCCCAAATTCTCTACCGCACACGTAACAAACCACCATTCTTCTTCGTTGGTCCGTCGTCCCATCACCGCCTTTTGGAGAGGCCATCGACCCCAAGGGTCCACGCGACCTACAAGGGAGAATAAACCTCCTGATGTAACTATTACAGACATAGATGATTACATTAGGTTTCTCCGCCATTCATGATACGAGCTTCTTCAAGTTGTCATTAAGTGTTTATTCCCAATTTACTTCCATAAAAGCAATACTGACTGTAACACATCAGACTTAGCCTTATCCACACAGCAACGATAAAATGGAAGAGTTTCCCTACAGGTCGTCATTAAATGAGAGGGTCAGTTGGGGATAATTTGAAATGTCATACACTATATATACATATGTACATACCATCGCTACAAGACTGGACCTTGACGTAGTACGATGGTTTGCATACTTCCGTTATCCATTGAGCTCCGATAAATGGCACTTTCAAAGTACCTCTTTCCGAATAGGTCAACGGTTATGGGTCCGACTAACTCAGTCTCATAATTCTTTTCAGAGGTTTCAGAGAGGTCGATTGCCCTCTTCCATTAAAACAACCACGGAGACAACAAGTGACTCGTTACGACTTCACAGCTCCATTAGTGTAGAGCACGGGTCACCAAACTACGGTGCGCAGGCCGGACCCGGCCCCCGTTGAAGCATCGAGTTGAGTGATCACTCATGAACCCCATTCTTCTGCGCATCCTATTGTGTTTCTGCTTACCCCATACTTTGTGTCGTAACTTTCCGTCGATCAGCTCCTTTGAAGCACGTGTCATATGCACGTCGCTTATTGGGAGACTTCTAGTTAAGGTGTGTCACTTTGGATCCATATTGCTACTTATGCGGAAGTATTTGCCGGTTATTTGTACGGAATTATTCTGATACCGCATATTGTTAAGGTTCGTACACTTTTGTGATGCCAAAATTCCTGTAAGTAGCACCGATATCCAGTCCGAGCACTGTTTAGTGATTCGGCATAGTTGAAACCGTTTGCTCAAGTCTTCAAAGCACGCCACAACGTTATATATATATATATATATATATAGATCTGGCGAAATCACTTTGTTCGTCTCTTGAACAACCGTTCGTAGATTGACTGGCCTACATTGAACGGCCTGAAGCAGCACGAGGTGGTGATGAGTCTGGCAGACGCGCCGACACTGGATGAGACGCAGAAAACACTTGCTCAGCTGCGAAACGTCAAGTGTGCTGGTGCCGACGGGATCCCGCATGAAGTATTGAAACACGGCGGACCGGCGATGTTGACTGTGCTGCACCACATGGTTCAACGCGTATGGATTGAGGAGGAGGTGCTTTCTGAGTTGAAGGATGCCCTTGTGCTACCACTGTACAAGGGTAAAGGGAGCAAGCAATGTTGTACGAGTTATCGTGACATCAATTTGCTGAGTTGCGTAGGCAAGGTGATCACCCGGATCCTGCTCAACACCCTCGTCAGTCAGGTTGTGGAAACTAATTTGGCGCAAGAGCATTGTAGATTTCGTTCGGGTCGCAGCACTTTAGATTTGCAGGAGAACTGCTGAGAACGACACCAGCCGTTGTACTCGCTTTTTGTTGATTTTACCAAGGCATTTGATACGGTGAACAGCAATGCATTATGGCTGGTGTTGGGTAAGTTTCATTGTCCGCGTACGTTTGTAAGTTTACTAAAATATCTGCACAGTGGTATGCGGGCGAGGGTGCAGCTGAATGCACAGACCTCTGATTTTGCGGTTGTCTCTGGTGTGAAAAAGGTTGTGTTTTAGCTCCTGCCTTGTTTAATATATATGACTTCAATCAATCATGTCTTGTGCTTTTGATGTGGCTTGTGCTTACGATGTTCGTGTGGAGCACCGTATTAATGGTAAGTTGCTGAACATCCGTCGTTTCGGTGAGAGAACCCTAGTCTGCGAGACAACTATCCGCATATTGCTGTTTGCTGACGGCTGTGCGTTGTTTGCGCACAGTGCGGTTGAGTTGCAGCACATGACTAGTGCTCTGGCTTCGACAGCGGCCAAATTCGGGCTCACCATCAACACAAGCAAAACTATCTGTATCTTTCAGCCTTCACCGGAGGTGCAATCTTCAATATTGCCGCTAATCAGCATTGGTGCTGATGCATTGGAAACCACCTCCCGCTTCTGCCACCTTGGGAGTGTGATATTGACTGATTAGCAGCTACGCAGTGAGCTGCGTATCCGTGTCTCGAAGGCAGTGGCAGCATTCGGGAAGCTAGAGTACCGAGTGTGGAACAATCATCAGCTAAGCATTGGCACGAAGCTGATGGTGTACAAATCCATGGTGCCGTCTGTTCTTCTATACGGCAGTGAAACGTGGACGATGTACCGGCCGGATGTGCGATATCTCGAGCGGTTCCATGAACAGTGCGACGGATTTTGCGCATCGGATTAGGCGACAGAGTTGCGGACACGCAAGTGTTGCACCGTAGTGGAAGGTATACAGTGCACTGCATACTCTTGCTGAGGCACCTGAGGTTGCTCGGTCATGTGAGCCGTATGGATCTGACGCGGATACCGAAGCAGCTATTATATGGTCAGCTGAGTATTTTGAAGCGGCATGTGGGGAAACCGAAGCTTCGTCACCAGGACATGAACAAAGTGAGCTTCTTATGTTCTAATCTTGATTCCAGGTCATGGGAATCTAAAGCGGTTGATCGGCGTGCATGGCGCGATCTGATCACGAAGGTCGTTGCCGAGGTTCAGGTGAACGCTCTCATACATGCGGAGAAGAAGCGGCAGGCGCCGATGGGTTGTACTCCATCGACATCGAGCGCATGGTGCTGTAGCACATGCGGTCGCGAGTGCCTGAGTCAGACAGCCGTAGTGAGCCATGAGTGAGGCCACTCGGGGCCACCACCGAAGCGACGATGGGTCCTGCAGAGAACGTAGGCAGAACCGGCGCAGCGTTTGTAAGCTTGCTGCATTCGTTTTACTAACCGCATGCTTGGATGCTGAGTCTCCTTATTTCCGGTGGTGGGTTAGCTATATTGTCTCCTTAATGACTACGTGGACTATCTTCTGTTAACTTGTACACATCGCTCATCTTAATTGTAGTTATCTTTGATAACATTTTCGCGTTTGTGGCATTTTCTTAAAACATATTTTCTGACGTTTGGAACCTATAGTGGATATTTTGGTAACCAATTTATTTCATATGATCATTTATTGAAGGGTTGTTTTCACCATTTCTGTTTCCGCTATTCAATTTATTTTTATTCTTGTCGTTTCAAGTTATTAGCTTTTGCTTGATATCCGCGGTGTGGCTGCGCTTGATGTGCATGTTGACAAGGTGCCTGCCTGTTCATTACCCACTACCTCGTGCATACTGGCTCCAGGAGACCGTTGGTCGAAGCTTGTGATGACCGGTTGCATGGTCCTTGTGGCCGTGTTAGACTCGAAGGACGGTTCCATGCACTCAGTGTGGAGCGGACTACGGTCTAGCCATTGCCTTGTGTGTACTTGATTCCCAAATACAGCGTGCTTGTGTTTGCCTGGGAAGGAGTGTAGGCCGGCTCGGTTGATGAAACCTGGTTCCCATCCACATGCCTCCCG